CCCCCCCCCCTTTTCACCGCCTCCTCCGCTGTCGGAATTCGATTTCGATCGCAGAAAATCCACGTGCATCTTCCACGCGCGATGCATTTCTACCAGTGGTCTACGCAGTTTTTTCTAGTAAATTAAACAGGCATATCGGAAAAGTGTAGAATCGGCTAATTTGGGGTTGCGGTTAGGGCCTGAGTGCCCCCTGCCTGTCATTTTTTTCGTGATAATCTTGCTTTTCTTTTGCGTAGGCTGTCATTCCATTTCTACCGCCGTTAGAAAAAGAACAAAAAATCGCACCTCCCAATCGACGCCCGCGATAGACAGGGGAAGCACCCGGCAGTTCGTGTCGAACCAATCAGCGGACGACGTTCCGGCCTTGGGGGCGAGGATGTCGCAGCCCAGCATCGGCACTGCGAGGAGCTCCGTGAGTCGAGCCAGGAAGCTGTCAGGTACTCGGTCGAACGCTTCTCTGTTGGAGTCCATCTGCTGTACCCCCAACGAACCAAGGCACGGATCGAATTGGTTGCAACAAAACATCGTTAAATAGAGCACAGCACTGGCGTTCGAGTCCATCTGCTGTACCCCCACCGAAATAAGGTACGGATCGAGTGGATGCAACCCAAAATGAGGGAATGGAGCATTGTTCTCGTTATTATCGTAGCGTTCGGGTCCGTCTGCTGTACCCCACCAGAACACGTACGGATCGACTGGTTGAAACAACACATTTGAATCTTGATTTAGTCGTCATTGTAGCACGAGAGGAATACGTTTATCTATGTGATTGGGTTCGTTGCTAACATATAAAAAAAAAACGTCTAAACTCACCCGGGCAAGCGTGGCGATGATCGCGAGGGCCGAGAGCACTCTCGACCTCTCCTCCTCGGCGACCAGCGCCACCAGCGCCGGAAAAACAAGGGCCAGGGACGACACGTACTCCAGCGCCGACGGCGACAGCATGATCTCCGTCGTAGATAATGGGGCGGCCGATGACGCGGCCCCCTTCGACTCGGCGGCGGGCGGCGCCGACACCATGCGCACATGTGGCGGAGCGAGATAGTTGAGGCTATCCTGTAAGGAGACAGGGAGGGTGGGTCGGTGTTGGAGTGGGA